GTCGAAGTTCTTGAAGGTGATGTTGGCCATTTTGCGGCTCAGCGGAGCAGCGATGACGACGATGTCGTACGTATCCCCCGTTAGTCCCAATGTCGTGTTGTAAGTGACCTGGTAGAGCTTCACCGGGTCGCCTGGGGAGAAGAGCGGGAAAAGAGCTCAGTTATCCCGCTCTGTGGCTGGAGGGAATCCCATCTGTCCCTCCGACAAACACCAGGCTTTTCAAATGCCCTCCCATTTAGGCTAATTATGCCTTGCCGCAAGCTGGGGCTTCGAGCAGAGCCCACTTTTCGTCTTAAAAGACCAAGGAAGGCCCAGGCTGTTGTTTCGGTCTGCCAGGAGCTGCAGCTGAGCGGTGACAGAGGCCGACGCTGCTCACCAGCTGCCGGAGTGTGCCGTTCCCCTCCCCGCCCCCGCCAAAGGGAACGCAAACCCAACTCACCTGTGGGTCTGATTTTTGGCTCTATAGACAAAGCCGTGCCAGGGATAACTTCAGCTTTGGAGGCGTAGAGAAGGCCCGTGCAGACAAGTTTGTTCCCCCCTTTTACTGACCAAAGGCCCGATTCCACCCCTGCCAGAGAAACAGCACCTACAAGGAAACCATGATCATTAGAGTGTCTTGTTCGGCGTCATTTTGTAGAGGAGCATTTGAAATAAAGTGGAAAATTAGGGGGAAAAAAAACATCCCTTTGGGGCACAGAGCTCGCTGAAGACCAGGGCTAAGCAGGCAGCAATTAGTGGGAGCAGAAACCCTAACACCCATGAAGAGCACAAGGTCCCTGGCACAGACGCATTGGGAGGTTAACCCATGAAACACTCACCTACGAAACCATTGATGTTGATACCTTGCCCGTAGTTGACTCTCATGGCCGGACAAACCACCTCATTTATGAACTTATGGGAGAAGCCGGCTTTCTGCATGGCTTCATCGATGGTTTGATTCAGCATGCGGGTGAAGTCGTTCCCTCCAAGGGCGTGAAGCAGGCGCTCGTTACTGCTGAAGGCGTAGTCATGCGTCTGGTAGCGATAGATCCTTTAACCGGAGACATGAAATAGGCGTTCAGTCGCTGTTAATTATCTTTGTTGCCCTCGGAAGCTGTGGAGGATCTCACAGCCCTTCCAGCCAAGCCCTAGCCTAAGTGGTACATGCCTAAGTAGACCTGGACCTTCATTATTCATTTACTGACCTCTCCTAATGAAAGCACTTTGTGCACAGTTACGAATTTAATTCTGTTTAGTACCCAGGTGGGACATCCCACACCTAACAGGCATTTCCACTGCAGCCTCTTGTTATTGCTAGCCTGTTTGAAGATGACAGCGCTTATCTCGATCTTTTTCCTTAGGAAAATGATCGGCAATGGAGAGAAGGCAGCCAGAGACTCCTTTCTCAACAGCGACGGGATGATTTCAGCAATTTTTCCAACTCGGCAGCAGGTTTCACACCTTTTCCTGCAGCCGGTTTCCCACCTTTTCCCCGGCAGGGCCCCGACGTACCGCATGAACTTGTCCAGGACGTCCTCCACCCACATGTACATTCGCAGGGGGTTGAGCCCGTAGCGCCAGAGGAGCTTGAGAAGGTTGAGAAGGTACCAGCTGCTCTCCTCAAACACGAACTCCTCCCCGTTATAAATGCCGACGAGGCTGCCGTGCGCTGGGGCAACCGAGAGGCCTCGAGGAAAGGGGTGAAAAAAAGGTGATTTAATGAAAGGTAGAGCTTGTGAACTATATTACACCTTGCTTTTAACTTCCCGAGACAACCTTGCTTCGTGTTGATCAGGGTGAGCAATTAAAGATCGGATCCCCAGGATGTGGAAAGCGTAATTAGTTCTTGACCGGGAGCCAGGGAGTTATTTATGGTGACTTTTGGACCTTAACGATGGGATTAAGGTCATCATCACCCATGGTGGTGGGGGCGGGGGTCCCCATTTTCATTGGGATGTGGGTCTCCTTTTCCCCGGGGGCTCTGGGGTACAGCAGGGGGGGATATTAAGGAGGGATTGGGGGGGGGTATTAG